AGCAGACCACATGGACCGCGTCGGCTGGGCAAAAAAGATTCAAGAGTAGCTCTACTTCCCAAGTGTTTGTCGAAGCATCTGTCTTTTTTCCTTAGACTTCTCCCTGCGTGATGCTAAGATGCTACTTGGGACGCAGATGAGAGGGTCAAACGACAAAGTCATAAGAAAAGGCTACGCTATAGAAGAGCTACAAGATCTTCCAACTGACTTCGACGCTCGCACCGCATTTCCCAATTGCTCAAAGGTTATCGGCCACATCAGGTAGGTAACCGGCGACTATGTGAGAAAATGCTGCCTCGATCTCCAGAGACCAGTCAGCTTGTGGAAGCTGTTGGGCATTCGGTGTCACTGAGGCCTTCAATGACCGCTTATGTGTCAAGTCGAATGGGACGTTCACGGAGCTCCTATCGGCCGGCGAGATGAATGCTTGTGCGCCGTGAGTCGAGGATGGAAGACTTAGACTGGGAGCTTTCCAGTCGGTACTTTCTGCCCAGGTCCTACGGATGCGATGGTGGATATCCTGATTCAGCCTGGTCTTGGGTGCACGATGAAGGGATCGCAACTGGTGAGGGCAGCCGACCGAAAGGGATCTCGGGATCCGATGCGAGTTTGCTACGACTCATCCTCGACTATTCAAAAGTCACCCTTGTCTAAAGAATGAAGACAGGGGAGACCTACACTGTAAACGCTGGGAAATGTGATGATAATCCCGGCAGGGGTCGCTCAGCGGCCAGTGAGGACGACAGCGACCGTCGCTGTCGTTCTCAACAATGAGCCAGCGACGATGACTCCTGTTGTAGCATCGTCTGGGATGACTTGTCCCAGTACAGTGGGCTAATTTATGGAAACTGAATCTCCGATATTCACATATGCTGCACAATCCTAGAGTATAGTAGAGCATTTCTTTCGTTGCTCAGGTGGAGATTACGTTGCAAGAGGTAATTTGACTAAAGGCGATGGGTGCTGGCCGTACGATTTCCCGCCATGCGCTCATCATATCAATGACACCAAGTACCCCAAATGCCCGAAGGTAAGCTGTAGCGGCAAGTCGCCGCCGGCGATCGCTGAGGCAGTCACTGTCATTGCCTATCAGGGCTCATACGAGACTCCCAACTGT